AGCTATTTTTAATGCTTTAAATTTTAAAATACTAATGTATAGCTGAAAGTATTTTATTCAGCAATGCCATTCCTTTATCTATTTTAAGAATTTTACTGTTTATATTTGAATTTTAAAAAAAAAAATAACAATTTTTAAATTGATTCTTACTTGTGTTTTCATCTTTTTTTACAGAGCTATCTTAGCTTTTTCTGGTGTGACCTCATTTTTCCTGGTGAAAAAAGGCATTGTTCAACAACGCACAGATGCTATGAAAGCGAGACAACGCATTTCCAAATCGAATACTGGTGTTTACAACATTCCTGAAAGGTTTAGATAAAGATAGTGTTTGCGTCTAAAGCGGTTGCTGTTCGGTACACTGGTTGTTACATCATTGCGAAGTGTAAAGACTGTGTGTTTAACAAACCTGACTTCTCTTTAAATTATTATTTTTTCTAAATAATACACAATGAATCCTGCTATTCAGCTCGATGCATCTAAGATGCAAATTGTTCAAAACTTAGAAATCGAAATGATGTCCGATATGTATAATCGTATGACTTCCGCTTGTCATAAAAAGTGTATTCCTCCTAAATATCACGAAGGTGATCTCACTAAAGGAGAGAGTATATGCACTGATAGATGTGTTGCCAAATACCTGGAAGTTCACGAGAGAATAGGCCGTAAACTAACTACAATGAGTGCCCAGGATGAAGAAGCTGCTAAAAAATTATTAGAGCAGCAGCAAACTGCACCAAATAGTTAGAACATAGATTTATAGTATCTTGAAATTAGAAAATAATTAAATAAATGTATCAATTATAAAACTTGAATGAAATTTTTTTTTTTTTTTTTAAATTTAGACCGTAATTAATGTATGTAATAAAAAATCTAATTGTATCCTTCATTGAATAAAGGATTTTTTTTTTATTACTTAGATTTTTGTTTATTATTTTTTTGATTCTGCTCTTTGTTTAACTTAATAGTGAAAGTGATTCAGATCTAGTTTTTTTTTAATAAGAGATGAATATTTTCATTAATTTCTTTATATATATTTTTCATTCAAATTTATAATTTTAAGTTCGGAATTTAAGTTAATCCTTTCTGATAAACTACATATCAATTCTTAATTTATTAACACTGAGGGCTGCTGAAAAAAATATTAAAGCTAACTGCTTCAAAGTTAAAAATCACAGCTTCTAATCGAGAAATTAGAAAATAAATGGATCAATTATAATACTGCCATTTTTATCTATAAATTATATCAAAATTCAATCATTTCTTTAATGATCTAACTCTTGAATAACACTGTATTCAATGTAACAATTCCTATGTATTCAAATTTAAAAATATATGATTGGTAGGTTTTTATGTTAATCTTTAACATCTGATTGAACATGAAGATTTATTAAAACATGAAGATTTATCTGATTAACATGAAGATTTATTAAAATATTAGAAACTGGAAAATGTATTTATGTGTGAAAGTGATAACTTTATTTTTCTTGATGAAGTTTGACAAAGTCAACATTTATTTCAAAAGGACTAGAAAAAAATATGCAAACTATACATTTTTGCAAGTTTCTTAGAATAACTGCTTTTTAATTTAAAAAAAAAAAATCTGTCTCGTTATCTTTTTACGCAAAGTTTTTAAATTTTTGATAAGTTCTTAAAAATTTCCTTGGATTTCTTCTGATCTCTGTATGAACCCTGTTTAATGTTTTTCAATTTGAAAGTATGATGTATAATTTAAACTAATTTATAGGACTTTTTATTACATAGAGAAGTAATAAAATTATTGTCAATTGATTTAAAAATAATATTCACTGTGACCCTTTAAAATTTAGTAATAACAATTTTAAAAATATAACTTAAATTTATTTAAAAAAATGTAACATAATTATAGGCTTTATTTATTATTTGAAAAATATTTTTAGTTAATAAAATGTAACATTCCAAGTTAGGGATTTTTTTTTTCATCTTAAGAACAATTATGAAGCATAATCATCTGTATAACTTTTTGATTTTATTATTTCTTCTATGAAATTCAAGCAGAAGATTTTTAAAATTTTTGGTGAAATTCCCAACTTTCAAAATTTTATAAGAGAGAAAATAATAGTAAAAAATTATGTTTACAATCTTCATCTTAATTTATTTAAAAATTATGTTTACAATCGTTATCCTTTTTTTTAAGTTTGAAATTTCTGCTAACATTATTAAAATGAAAAAATGTTTGATCCAAATTCCTTAAATCTTTAAAAAAATATGCGGTATGTTTCTAACATATACTAAAATCAGGAATATCAGGACAAAAAGCTAAGGATCGGGTCAAATAAAGACGAAAACATTCTTTTATTAAGAATGTCTGAGCAACTACAAATAACTACCCTGCTTTATTTTATCCTGTTTAATCATGATTTATATAAAGCTTAACAGTTTTTTGGGTTGTTAACTTACTGTTTAAATTTTTTTTTTTTTTTACTATAGGTGTAAGTGTCTAAATAATTTAAGTGTCTTCATTTTATGCAAAACACTTTCTCACACATTTTTTTCCGTTATATGAAGTATTTTCAGAGTTTTTCTTTTTCCCACTTTTCTGCTTGAAAATTAAAAGTAACAAAAGGTCAAAAAAATATTAATTTAGAATTGAATCTAATGAATTGAGTATGATTATTTTTGTTTTAGATAAAAGAAGATATACTGCAAATGTAACAGATTGCAAATTAAAAAATTGCCAGTCGCCACTAGATCGCAATTTTTTTCATAAAATGTGCTCCAATGCTTGTTTTATTATTATTTATTTTATATATAAACATGGAAATATGAAAACTTAATTTTATGTTTGCTGGCTAAAATGTTTATGCATTTTAGAAATAAATCTTGCAATGTTAATCACATTCTGAGAAATCCTTCTAACGAAAAGCATTACAGTAAAATTTTAATCTTTCAAAATTTTCATTTTTTGAAAAAGGTGCCTTGTTTCAAATATGCTTACAACTGGCCATTTGCAAAATGCCTTATATAGTAGAAGAAATATATTTAACTTAGTTCCTTAGTAAACAAAGAAGTGACAAAACAAGAATAATGAGAAAAGTTTTATTTTCCAGGAAATCTTATAAAAAAAACAAACAACCAAATAACTGGCAATAGAGCTTGATTTGAGTGTTTAAATTTAAGAAAAAGTTTTTCCAAAGTAAATATCTTTTTTAAAACTTGCTAAAATATTAGTGATAAAAATAGGCTAGCACCAAATATTGACTATCTTCATATTTTTTGCATTGTTTTGAAAACAATTGATCTGTATGCATGTAAAGGTTACACAAACTTGTATAAAAAATTATGAATTATTTAAGAAAGAATCAGTTTTTTTGTTCTCATCACTGAAATTCTTGTTAAGAGTAAGTCAATTATCAAAATCATTACTTTTTCTTTGCTTTTATGATTTTGATCAATTAAAAAAAATTTGGTATAAAAATTGCTTATTTTGATCATAAATTTTTGGATTTGGTAGCTATCCCATATAAATTTTCTTGCAAATTCTCCAATTTACTGTGGTAAAGCAAAAATGGTGAAATTTTTTTCTTGACTGAAAATGTGGTGAAAAATATTTTTTATTTGTGATTAAAATTCAATTAAAATATCATTTGTAATTTTAGTTGAGATATTCTAATAAAACAAATTTTTTATTTAATAATATGAAAAAAACTTTCATGTTCACTGTGTCTAATTATTACCAATTTAATTTAGAAGAGATAAAAAAGTTAAATGTCAGCATTCTGGAATAAATGCATTATGACTGCAGAGTAAATATATGTATATAAATTTATTATTTTTTATGGTAACCATTTAAAACTGTCCCATTACAATATTTTTGCTGATTGTCCAATAAATATTTATGCCACAAACCTCAGTGGTTCAGACTACCAAGTACAACACAGCTAATCATACATTTCTATGTTTTTTTTTTCTTCAAATTTTCCAAATCTTGGGTTGCCCAGTATATTACTAACTTTGACAGGTAGCCATCTGCTTCAGGAAGACATGAAAAAAATTGTCGAAATTTCATTGACAGCAATGATGCTTGAATTATGGTCTTGGCTACTTATGGTATTGTGGTAATAAGCACCAATTGTGCAGTTTTCAGAACCGCAGCCTTGCCTTGTGGCAGGTACTATAGTTACAAAGTAAAGTCACTTGGGATGAATAGTTTTGACTTAATCTTGGAATAAATCAGGGTGAGTAAACCAAGCAGCACCTTCATTTCTTAATTGCACCCCCCATTGGAATTGTGCTTTCACTTGTAACCATTGCAGCACACAACCCTAGACTCGACACAATAGGCTTTTTGCAACCCATTTCCAGAAATGGATTTGAATACTTGATGTTATGAAATTTTTCAGGATAGCTGCATTAGGTGGACTTTGTTTGATAGCTAATAATTCAGTTGCACAGTGTCTCCCAAAGTGTGGTACGCGTACCCCCAGGGGTACGGGAACAGTTTTGCAGGGGGTACGCGTTCTTATGCGAAATATCTTACAACAAACGAAAATTTCACAAATTTTAATTTAAAAACAAAGCCAGCCATGAAAATTTACAATTAGTGCTGTCTACAGTCAGTTATGATTTTTAACTTTTGTGAAATTTTTTTATAGTAAAGGTTTGTAATAAATTCTACTTATTTTGATTATTTCAATAAAATGTAATTTTTATCCTTAACATTGAATTTTTTACCGAAAACTTTGTACCAAAAAAGAAAAGCAAACATATTTTTAAAAAAATACGTTCATTTTTTTATTAGTGGTACGCAGCATTAAGAAAAATTTAGAAAGAGTACACAAAAGTCATAAGTTTGGGAAACACTGCAGTAGCGAGTTCCAAACTTTTTTTTTGTAAGTGTAATTATATATAATGTTTCAATGAAACTTAATACTACACTTAGGAAAATAACTCTGTTTAATTTTGATTAACGAAAACAAATTAACTTATGGTTTAAATATTGAAAATCACATAAATAAGTTGAATTAAAATAATTTTATTTCATAAAATTTTTATGTTATAAAATTACATAAAATATCAAGATTTCTTAAAAAAGTATAGCTTTCTACCCCATGAAGTTTCCCCCAAACATTCTTTTAAATACATATCACAATGTGTAGACAAAAACAGAATTAAATGTTCAGAAATGTTTCTTATTTTCAACAACTGAACGTCAAACTTTTCTCTATGTAAGCGAGTCATTCTTCTGACTGCTGATCTATAGCATTTCCATTCTTGCGGTTCAATAAGCAAATGCTTAGACAAATTAGATACAATTCTAAGAAAATAATTAAGTCCATCATCACCATTATTTAAATGTATCCACATAGTCGTAGAAAAGCATGTAACGATATCAAATTCAGATTTCTTATGTAGCTCGAGGTATGACTTCAGTTTTTGTAGAGCATTCTCGTTCATGATATCTATTTGTTCATACGTGATATTTGCTTCATTTTTATTTGATTCATTGCAGCGTGTAATGAGGACATTGTCGATATCTATCCCAAGCATATAAATTTGTCTGTTTGGATATGAAGTAGCCAGATGCGAATAAAGTGCAACAGTTAAATCCTATAAAATAAAAAGTTACAAAAAGTTAAATTCATAGACTGAGCATTGTTTTAAATGAAATTGGGTTCATGATTATTTTTTTAAATCATTTATTAATTCATTGTTTTTCAATTTTTAAAAACACAAACTTTTGAAGAACAAAACAGTTTTCAATAGATTTAAATTACAGAGGTTCCTTATTGATTGACTTGTACCAATTGATGGAAAGCAATAAAACACATTTTTAAGAAGTCAAATCAAAGAAGATAATGTGATATAGGGCAAAACAACTGCAGTTTCTATCATATACAGTGTACTCCTAAAGCGTTTTTAGAAGGCAGTCTGCCTTTTAATGATGTGCCGTCTTTACCCTATCCTATCAAAATAATCCACCATCCCTTAAAAACACTGCCTTTTTAGGCATATTCCATTTTAAAAAGATTTAATTCACAGTTTAAATAATAATTAACACTGGTAAAATGATCTGTGTTTATAGGTTTAATTCTGATTATACAATTAAAAATATTTATTTTGCCAGGATTATTTTCAACTGTTTAAATTTTTATAAGTTTCTCTTAAGTAATTTTAAAATAAATTTTTTTTTAAAAAAAGGCATTGTTAAATGTTTATTTTCTCATAATTTCCAGTTTAAATTATGAAAAAAAAATTTTTTTTCAAGTTGTTTATTAATAATTATTTCTTTTTAGTTTGCTCTTTAAAAAAAAAAAAAAAATTGTGCACAGTAATTGTCTTTGAATGTCTTTAATTATTATTTATAAACAACAGATTTTTCTCTTATTTTGATAATGAGTGAGAATTATTTCTTGAAATACACAGATAAAAAAGTATAAGAGGGTAATTTAAAAACTGTTGAGGATCAAATTCAGTTAATACACAATTTGATGTATTTTTTGGATGGTAAGTGAATGCCCTTTTCTGTGAGGAAACACCCTCCACATTTTTATTCCTTGGGAGAACTCTGTATTACATCACATAATCACTTGGGGTTTTAAATATTTCTTATGTATTGTTAAAAAATTGTTGTTTTGTGATTGCCATTCAAGTAAAACTTTTCAGTTTTTTTTAAAAAATAAATTTGAGCATTTACGTCAACTACAATCATCAAGACACCTAAAAAATTTTAAACCTTCAAAGTTTTCTTTAAAGAAGAAAAGAAACGATCGCCTGATGGTGGCTTCGGATTATAACTTAGAGTTGGTCCCTTTCCGTGACATAGTTTATTAGTTTCTAGCGAGTGACTATTCCCAAATCCTAGCGATTATTTTGAAGTAGGTACTAATACAGAAATCTTTCCAAACATAGGATATATTAAATAAACTAGAAAGTATGCAGAGTTATAGAAATGTAGCCACGTACACCAGAATTGCATCCTATATCCAAACAAACGATGGGTTCGTGATCTACTTTTATATTTGATGGTAAGTCACTAGGCAGGGCTTGTAAACGCTTAGAAACAGAATTGAAAGTGTAATAATTGATAAAATTTCCAAATCGTGCAGCTCCTGGTTCAAATTCATTGCAATTGCTCGAAATTATTTTTACTTCATTATTGGAATTTGATTCCATAGTTCAAATATTTAATAAATTGTGTAATATGATTATACAATTCATTAACGAGTTTATTATACGGATATGTAAATATTTGACATTAATCGCGCTTAATTTAAAGCTATATTTCAACTAAGAAGTGGGACTTATTGTTTACATCAATCAATATTGATAGAGATTATGGTAGCTCTCGTATGGTTTCCGCTTACTTAGTTTTGCTCAATAAAATAAAGCCTAAACGATGACCTAGTTTCAAGTTTCAACTGACAAATTAATGGTGCTGTCATCTAGTGACGATTAGAAGAAACTTGAACTTTCCTTTCGTTAAATATGTAGTTTATTTTTTAATGATAGAAATTATATTTCTTTTTTTATATAGGCACTTAAAAATGATGAAAATTCTTTTTAAATAACTAGTTTTTGTAAAGCTAAACAATTAAAATTAAAAAATTCAGCACTTGAAGTATTTAAATTCTCATTGTTTAGAAATTTAAAACAAAATAGTATTTAACGAAATGAGGATCTCTATGCTATGGCATTTTCTAATATCCCAATGCTAATGCTAATTTTTTTAAGAGAATCAAACAGTTCGAGTTTATATTTTCCCCAAACTACTCAACCAATATCGTCATAATTCATGATTTTGTCATTTAAAATTAAATTGTCAAAGAGGATAAAATTTTTCTATCCATTTTAATTCATGTTTTTAGTAAAATCATTATTCAATTAAATAAGTTTAAAATATTTATTGTTGTTGTTAATTTACGTCGCACTAGAGCTGCACAATGGGCTATTGGCGCCGGTTTGGGAAACATCCCGGAGGATGATCCGAAAACATGCCATCACAATTTTGATCCTCTGCGGAAGGGATGGCACCCCCGCTTCGGTAGCCCGACGACCTGCGCGTGAAGTCGAGCACTTTACGGTAGCACAGATTAACGAGGACCAATACCGCACACCCTCGGTCCCTACGCAGACTGATCCAGGTGGTCACCCATCCGCACACTGACTGCAGCCAGTGATGCTTGACTTCCGTGATCTGCTGGGAACCGTGTCTAAAAGACCTGTTTAGACGATCCAATTTCTTGGACAGAGATTGATTGATATTGATGGAAACTTGTTTTGCTTTGAGCTTGGATCGTGTAAACAAACATCCAAGAACTTGGTCCAACTTCTTGGACGATAGTAGAGTATGCACCGTCCTAGGTTTTGTGACGTCAACAAGCAGGCATCAAATTATGACATTTTGTTGTCTGTTCTCATATATTTTAGTCCAAATAAATTGATCTGTTGCGGTTTATTTGTGTTATCGTGATTTTATATGAATTTATTCAGTAATTTTAAAGTCATATAAGTATGATTTTATAATGTTGAATATGAACATTGCGCATGCGCAAGTGTTTCTCCCGTCCAATCAGTGACATTCAAGAACTTGGATAGTGTCAACGAATCATCAAATTTCTTGGACAGAGAAATCCGTCCAATTTCTCGGATACAAGAAATAGGACCGTGTAAACAGGCCTTTAACGATCAGTCCACTGCGGGACCAAAATATTTATCAATCGCTTATTTAGTCCAGGTATAGTGGGAAACAAGCAAAAATGACATCAACGGATATCTTCTATTGTCATTAAAAATCAATAAAGAATATAAATCAAATCTTAATAAGGACTAATATTAGAAATTTGTAGAATAGTTGGTGGCATCCTAACCTGCTCGGTTAGCTCACCAAGCCGTTCTGATATTTTTCTCTAAAAACAAAATATTTTAAATTATTTTTAAAGTAAAAAAGATAAAACAAAAATAATTTTATTTAAAAAAATATATTATTACTATAATTTTATGTCAGAGCATTTGTTTATATGTTAATCTTAACGTAAAGCTATTTGAACTTTTAACAATCTTCTTATTGTGTCACACAATAAGAAACAATAAAGAAGAAGTATTTTTCCTTTTTAACAAAATGTAACAATATCCTTACAACAATTCCAGTTGGAAACTGTTTTTCTCGCTCTTGAATTAAGTATTTTTTGTTTTTGAAAACTTCAATGTTAATGTTAAAACTTATACATAAATACAATTAATATTTTTCTTATTTCTAATTAACATATTTATTATTTATTTTTTTTGTTGTTGCTTTTCATCATGTCAAATGCCCGTTTATAAAATGGTGACCTCGAGACTCGAGAGAGATAATTAAATATTCTTACAATAATGGACAAATATTTATATAGAATCGTGACTAAAAACTTTTTCTAATTGACTGAAATTTTCTATCACTATTTTATGATGCTATGTTTCTAAAATACATAAAGAGATTTCTATTNAAAAAAAAAAAAAAAAAAAAAAAAAAAAAAAAAAAAAAAAAAAAAAAAAAAAACAAGGAATGCGAATTTTTCTTAATTTTAAATGATGCAATTTTATAGGGGGGAATGCAAATTATGTATTAAATTGGTTAAATACTTGAGTTAAAAAAGTGAAAGAAAGTCGTATTTTTAAATTTTTAATTACTAAAAACCATTTAATCGATTTCCATCATATTTTGATTTTTATTATTTAAAACTAAGCAGATTAAAACATTATACAAATGTGCATTCCTTAAAATTCAATTGTGTTTATCTCGTTAAGAAAACGAAAATAATGAAAATGATTAACTACTTTTTTTTTTCTTTGTGTATTCACATTTTATAATCGTTTACCAGCATTTTTTTATTTGCCTCAACAATCCGAACATTACGCAAAAGAGTGAAATTAACATAATTGGATATAAACTTTCGACACTCATATGCGGAGAAAAAAAACTCTGTTTAATTTAGTTCAAGATGTTCTTCTGTGTACTGAAAAAATGATGAACATAATAATGAATGAAATACAATAATGAATCTTAGAAAATATTAGATTTCTGTTTGTAGCAGCAAGTGTTATTGTTTGCTCCCGAATCGACAGGAAGACGCATAAAAAAATTCATTATTTTATCGTCTGCAATTATTATTCCAAACATATGTACATTTTTATTATTAACATGACGAATCACAAAAAATAATAAAATTTAAATTATTTCTCTATTATAAAACTCAAGTAATTCATTAATTGAATCTATTAAAGAATATCAGATGTCGCACACTAGATCCAGCTGATTCACTGCGATAATTTTTTCAACCTTCAAACATTTATTAAAAAGATGAACAAGCGAATTTATAATTATTTTCACTATTTGATTTTATTTGAGTTAAATGAAATAGATTATTATTTTTTTAATGGTTTTTCCCAATTATTTGAAAACTGTTATCTGCGTGGAAGATGATGTATGATTTACTTTATTAACCATCACTTAACAATGTTTTTTTATTCGCTACGTGCTGAGAACTCAGCTCAAAAATATATCACTTAGATAACTTTACATTTCAACGAAATTGAACAGAATAATTATGGCTTGCTGGCAACTTTTCATTGCACTTCTGTTGAATTTGGGATTGACTTTAAGTTTGTCGGTACGTAACTTAAAGCATAAGCTGTTGTAATTTAGATAATGTATTTGTGTTATATGTAATCATGTTTTAATGAATCTAAATTTACTATTCTTTTTTATCAATACGATTGGACTATACGAGTTTTAAATTTTTTTTTATAGCTCTGAGTTTATAAAGGTTCAGATTTTAAATAATTCGAGTAAACCTGTTTTAAAATTTATACGTTGACAATTGGTAATTAAGTATACTTGATTTTGATCGTCCTATAGTGTAGGCAATATCTATGAATCTCCAACGCATTTGAACTGTTCGTGACATAGCAGTCGCAATCTTTGCACGTAAACACTTCGCCGACCGATCGGGGAAGTCTACTCCTTTTGTTAACTATCTGTACAAGACCGATAAGAGAGATCTCCCTGACGTTTGGCAATAGTTGTAGCTGTTAAAAAATACGCTGTGGCTAGCTGTAACTGAAGAGCAATTCGTTCGAACGGCAAAGTGTATTATGCAGCCAAAAGAGAGGCGATCTAAGACGTAAAAAAACATGTAAACAGTTTGGTAACAAACTGTTTATGTACAAGATAAGTAAACAATTTGTTGCCAAATACATCTGCAGCCTTCCTTCTTAAAATACCGTTCTTAATCCATTCTTAAAATACTCGAAAATCACTATTTTGAGATCAGAGTAATTTAAAGATTTGGCAAAATAAACAAATGTCACGATGTTAAGAAAAACTGCATAAAAATATTTTCCCAAAAATTTCAATTCTATTAAGAATGTAACTTTCCCAGGAAGCTCTTTGATTATCATGTGAAATTTATGAGATCTCTAACTTCAAAATCAAAAGTACCTGGTATTTTGCAAAATGTTTGTCCCTCAATTTTTGAGTGAAAATTTTTCGATATTTTTTCTCAACCCCTCTCCAAAAAAAGCATTGTTTGTGAAGGGTAAAAAAAGAGAGAATTTCACATTTTATCAATCGAGAAATATAATTTAAGTGTTTAGGAACGAATCGAGGCAAATGCTTAGATTTAAGATGAGCTTCCATCATCTAATATATATA